TTGATGCAGTTTCGTGCTCTGTGCTGTCTGTGAGCTTTCCCCTCTGAATACTTTGTATTTTACATTTTTCTATGCCAAACAGCATGTCTATATCACTAGAGAATCTTTTAGTGATATATATTAGCTTCTTCAGTTCCTGTAATCTGCCAGAGTATAGTTTAATGTCATCTATGTATGCCAAATGGGTGATCACACACTTTTCTTGTCCTTTCAGTTCAAATCCCACTCTTGTGTTGTCCAATAGATATGACAGTGGGTGTATATCCAGACAGAACCAAAACGGACTGAGGCTATCTCCTTGAAAAATTCCTCGCTTGATCTTCAAACTCTTCGTGACTACTCTCTCGTTCCTGGAATGCATGTGTATTTTCGTGCACCAGTAGTTCATCACAGTCTTGAGGAATTCTACAATCACAGGGTTTATACCATATATTGTATATTCTTAGGACATGAATAAGCCAATCGTGAGGGACCATGTCGAATGCTTTTCTGTAATCAATAAAACATGTATATAGGTTACGCTTTTTCCCACATGCCTGAGACATGATAACACTGCCTATTACTAACTGTTCTCTACTTCCCAAAGAGCCCTTACAACAGCCTTTTTTGGGTCTTCAAGATGATGTTATTTTGTATGCAATGTTGTTCGATGATCGTATGTAGACAGCCTGCCATGATCTTGTATAATGCATTAAGACATGTGATTGGGCGATAATTCCCTGGATGTGTAGTGTCATTGGTTTTTGCTTTTAAGTATGTGACTCCCTCACTTAAGCTGTCTGGAGTTTCTTCCGGATTTTTCAGGTAATGATTGATAAGTGTCAAGATATTTCCATGGAGTCATGTGAATCTCTTGAACCCGATGTTGTGAAGCCCATCAGGACCAGGGCATTTCCAATTATTCAGCTTACGTAAAGTAGCCTGTAAAATGTCCATAGAGATTTCACTAGTTTCCATGTCTCTGATAGCATCAGAAGGATTCGTAAAATCACTCATCCATGATGTCCTGTCATGAAAGTGGCCTTCTGTTGACCATATTCCCCCCAGAATTCTTCAACAGCTGACTTCACTGGTAGCTGGATGCTTTGGATTTCTCCTTTCAATCTCCTAGAAAACACTTTTTGGTTTCTACTGAATGTTTAATTATCGTTTT